TGGCAAAAATGAAAGTAAGATTTCATGTAACGGGTTTCGTCCTTCTGGACTTCATCACTCTTAATTTGTTATGTTTCTGCCACTACAGATGCACATGAACGTGGGATGGTGGAAATTTTTAATTTAACTTTCATTTTGATATAATCTAACCGATTTAATTTAGATTCTTTTTCTTTTTGTTATTATACATCTCACACTTTGATATTAGAAGATCTGTCAGGAATGGGGAAATGTTGTAAGAGCCAGGAAACAATTTTATTATGGATGAAGGCATTCGCTAAACAGTTTTTGCTTAGTGAATTGTTTTGGCCTTTGATCAGAGTATCATTTTTTGTGACAAATTTGTGGTCCGTCTGGTTAAGGTGAGCCACTAATATATTTTGTGTATTGTTTTGTAAAATATCCTCTTTGTATTCATATAATCTTTTATTAGATTCATTGAGGTCTCTGCTTTGTATTTTTGTGACAATTATTACAGGCGATAAACAAAAAATTAAGCAATATATCTCTATTTACCTGTAAATAATATATAAAAATATATATATATATATATATATATATATATATATATATATATATATATTATATATGTGTGTGTGTGTGTGTGAAAATATATAGAACATAGGAAAGAACTCGTTAGGTAAATAATCCAAAGTTCTTTAGTATTTTTATTTTTGTTATTATTTTTAAAAAAGCTGTGCTCGATACAAAAGTTGTGGCTAATTATATAATTATTTATTTAAATGGAATCATATTTTAAATAAATAATTATATATATATATATATATATATATATATATATATATATATATATATATATATATATATATATATATATATATTGATAATAGGAGTTAATACACACACACCAGGTAGAACTCAATGTCTAGGATAGAGTAAGAATATAATAAAGGCTTAAACACTAATAAAACCATGGAATATTAGTGTTTAAGCTTTTTTTTATATATATATATATATATATATATATATATATATATATATATTTTTCTCTCTCTCTCTCTCTCTCTCTGTGTGTGTGTGTGTGTGTGTGTAATAATACCCATTTCGGTAAAGAAAATGATATTACGCTTTTTAGCAGAGCTAATACTATTTACAAAAATGATTTCTCCATCGGCTATTCACTTCTGAATGCTTTATTTTATGAGGAGGAAGAGAACGTTTTTCCAAAACATCTAATTGTAAAAGACATTTAAAGATAAGGAATGTATGATTTACAAACGTGTACTGACCTACACCCAACATTACTGGCTTAAAAATAGTTGAAACAGACTAGGTTTGCATTGAAGGTATCCGAACATAGAATTACTATTATTTCTGTACAACGCAACATGAGAATATAATACAACACTGAAGAAGAACACAACACACACACGCACACGCACACGCACACGCACACACACACACACGCACACGCACACGCACACACACACTTATATATATATATATATATATATATATATATATAGTAACTATGAATATATTGAAAATTGGTAATAATTAGTCGAACATCAACAGGGTGTTTATGTAGTTTTATATAAATCAATTCTACACAATAAAATTTAGAAGACACACATTGAAAACATAATAAGAAGGAATCTCCTGTAAATTGCTAATGAATTGTTTGAAAGTGATTGGGACAATATATATATATATATATATATATATATATATATATATATATATATATATATATATAATGTATGTGTGTGTGTGTTTAAAAAAACAGTTATGTTTAATTTAAAATGATGATAATCACAACTTAAACTAATATTAATATATATTTTTCATATAATTTTAAGTTTGTCTATTTTAATATATATTTTAAATAAATACTATTAACCCCTGTTTAATTTAAATATAAAATAAAACATTAATCCAGGTTTATTTTAAATATAAAATAAACATCCCGTCTATTTTATATGCATTATATATTTTTTAATTAAAAAAAAAACATAAACTCCGTAAAATATATTGATGGCGCCAGATATTTTATTAAAATAGAAATAATGAAACGGTTAGTCGTTACCCAGCACCGGAAGATTGCGTTGCGCATGAAACTCCGAGTCGTGTTACTGGTGAGGGATTTTCTTTATATTCATTAATATATGCTTCATAGCTCTATTACATCGCCAACTATTTTTATTAACACCAGTACTTTACGAGCGACTTCTCTGATCATCACTACCTTTGGCGATGGACAAGAACCTATGTAGTGTGTTTATTCAATTCTGCACACGTGGAGGACACCGGATTTATCACATATTCAGTCGCCTACCGTCACTGTTATGTCTGCGAAAATGTTAAGTGCATGTCGATAGATGTCAATGGCGGGAATACACAATTGTACATTTCAGATTTGGATGCACTTTCAGGTCAGATATTATTTTACCAGGCTGCCACGTAGTTGCTATCTCTAACAAAGCCAACAATTATAGTTTCAACCTTTACTGTACTGCACTGTACTGATGCGGCATTCACCCTGGGCGGATTGAGACGGCTTCTTCCTATTATGAGACGAAGATTCTTGGGATAAATTACAGAAGTAGGGTACCCAGGCCTACTTGGATAACGTTCTTGCTTGCCGCGGGGTTCCCACAGACGCAGAGACAGGAACGACCAGAAGCCGCCGGTTACCGATACAGACGCTCCTTGGATTTTCACCAGAGCCCTTGTTAGCCGGCGTGTGTGTCAGACCTGTCCGCCTTGGGTGGCCCTACCAGGAACGAAGTTCCGGGCGGCATAGCTCTGACACTACCGTTTACAACCCCCACACCGACTGTGAGGTAAGGGTTGGACTTTGGGGGCTTACAGTACCAGATGTTCTCAAGCGGTCCCCCATCTAAGTACTGACCTGGCTCTACGCTGCTTAACTTCGGTGATCGTACGAGAACCGGTGTTTCAGCGTGATTTGACCGTAAGCGTAAGTTTCAACCTTTGCTGCCATACGATCAACACCCTATATGAAGTCATGTCTGAAAATAATATAACAGAAACAAATACAATATTTTTGCGCGTGTATTTCTATATATGCCTGTGTATATTTGCTACAATTACGTTAGACAGATCCTTTGTTCAAAACAAAGTCGAACTTATTATCTCTGACACTCTACGTTAGGTAAACTCTGTTTTCCTGTATCTGTGATTGCGTGTGCGCATATGTATTTGTATATTAATAAATGCACGCATACTTATATATGTGTGTGCGTATCATAAGTATACCCCTTCGCCTCTTCCTCCTCCTCTTCATCATCACCACCACCATCACCATCATCATTATTAATTATCATTTCTTTCATCTTATTTATGTTGCTTTCTTTACAACTCCCGGATGACTGTAAATAAGCACACATATATAGGAAATATAAATTTGGCCTTCGATGTGATTTCAATACATATTCCTTATTCTTGAAAGCGCGTGTTGCCGTGTCTGCTTTTTTCCGATAAGACTACCAGTATGCACCAGTCAGATATATAGCCATATCTTCTTCCAAGTTATAGAGTTTTTGCTATTGTTTACAGATAGAGAAGCAATTTTAATGTTTTTCGAATGTTTTAGACGAATTCTTGTTACTTATTATTTTTTATTTTCATTTCTTTCCTTTCAATTCTGTTACATTTTATTTCAACTCTCAGTTAGCTATTTTAATAAACAGCATCAATGGGAAATACAGAATAACCGACTAGCGTGCTCGAACTTGAATCCTTTTCTCCGTTGGAAGCCCTTGTTTCTGTGACAGGAATGTAGTAAGTAGACCACAGATAATTCACTAACACTGTGACAAAAATAGAAATAAAATGAACGAATTACGAATTTTGAAAGAAATGAATACGAACTGCATCAGCTAAAAATTTTGAAAATTCTTCCAGTTTATATTACGGGTGTAAATAAACAATAACCTTAAGGCTTAACTGAGAATGAAGGAATAAACCTATATGCTTAATTTATATATTTCTATGTATTATTTAATCATATCATCCCAAGCAAGGAGATAAAGCCACTAAGACGCAAGAGGTTAATTGAGTGCTAGGTAATATGATCAAAACTACAATTAAGGAGAGAAGACAATGAAGAAAACAAGAATTGAGAAGACAGAAGACAACGATTGATATTCCATTTAAATTTTTGAAAATAATATTTGACTGGCAATGCCAGAAGACGGAAGAGGGTTCTACAAGTGAGAAGAGCGAGGGTAGAAAATGTGAGCATAGAACTTCCGGTTATATGTAGCCATTTCAACTGTAAAATGATGAGACCTATCTGCCAATCTAGTAGTGCTCTTAAAGTTTAGGTCAGAACAATTACCATGAAAGTATTTATAGAAACGGCACAGGGGAAGTGGCAGTGAAAAGATTATTCTTTGGATTTTATAAAGAATCTCTGTATGTATAGCAGATACATCCGACCTGATGTGGCAGCAATAGTCAATGCATGGACGAATGGTAGACTTATAAATTTGTAAGATAGTTTCTGCAGAGAAAAAATTGTCTCTCACGATATAGTGAACTAGCTTTCTGTCAGCAGACTTAGCAATTGATTCAATATAATCCTTTCCCTTCATTTCAGTGGAAAACTTTGGCCCGGCAAGGCGTAGTTGCTATGTATAACTGTAAGAATGTATATGAATATGTGTGTCCATACGTATATTTCTGCATGTCGAAAGATGCTTATTTCAATATTTCTCTAATCATTAAAAGCGGAAATGAAACTCACAGACGAGCAGAGAATCTAACGTGTTAAAACCAAATCTTTAGTCACTATAATCAGTTCGTATAAACATAAATATTATGGCTTCCGGTCAATGCAAACCGTCTTTTCAGTGCAAAGTCAATAAATGCATTCTGAAATCGTTGTTACTTCTTTCTTTTTTCCTGTCTACCTTTCTTTTTTATTTTCATTTCATTTCTTTATTTTATTATAATTATCGTCATTTTTTTCTATATTCCTCTGGCTTAAGAGGGTTCTTTTCCGTTCTCAGATCATGTTGGTCCCTGAAATGTCTTTTTCCGACTTCAAATTTGTTTATGCTGATTTGAAAGTTTACTTACATACTCTTACGTTCTTCCCCATAATATTGTACTATCTAAATAGATTTCCTTGCTTCACCATTAGTTGATCTATCTATCTATCTATCTATCTATCTATCTATCTATCTATCTATCTATCTATTCTCATATATTAAGTTTCAAGCAATAACATTTAATTTGTATATTTTGTTTTCGATTAAGACGAACACCGGGATCAAAATTATGGATAAACTGTCCAACTTTCATGTTTTCTTTGTTTTCTTTTGAACGTTTCTATAAGTATTGATAAGTATTGGAAGACAGGATTTCGATGATAAATTCAGATGTGTGTGTGTGTGTGTGTGTGTGTGTGTGTGATTGTATATCCCTTTCCTTTGTCCGTTTTTATTAACAAACCTATCTAATTATTTATTTTCTCTCTCTTTTGTATGTGTATATATATATATATATATATATATATATATATATATATATATATATATATATATATATATATATATATATATATATATATATATATATATATATATATATATATATATATATATATATATATATATATATATATATATATATATATATATATATATATATATATATATATATATATATATATATATGATGGGGCATGTGAGATGCCTACTCAAGGATGTGATATTATGACCAATATATGTAACTGATTTATGTCAAGACACGCACTCTTTTACTAAGCAGTTAAATTGAATACCCGAATACGTAATCTCATTACGATTAATAAGTATATCATCTTCATAAATATATTTTGCAGCTGGAATCGATTAATATGAGAGATAATATTAATGTTGATATTATTTCTTGCCATAATGTTGCCATTATTTTCTGTTATACAAACATAAGAGAATAATGTTTTCCTCTTGTATGTATTTCCACGTTCTCTTCTGGGCTAAGCTTAGTAAATAACTAGTAATCTAAAAATTCAATATATCATTTTATATATAGTCAATGCTTAAGAACTTTCTACACTAGATCTTCCCAAGCGATTTGGGGCTACGCACCACTTTGGTATTTCTCAAATTTTGGTGACCCTTGTATTATTTAATTCTTACATATTCAGAATATTACTGTAATTCACATGAAGGAAGCTTAAAAGGCCATTAAGTTGGTCTCTAAACAAGCCTCCAAAGACCATGGCGTCCATGATTGAGAAAAGTTTTAAAAAAAGACTGTTAAATATATATAGTTTCAAAACATATAATAAAGTACTGAAAGGCAGAAATATAAAATATTTGAATGAAATCTTTATTCTGTCATATGCTTTGATCATTTTAATTATGAAATAATCATGAAATTTGAGCTCACGCTGATATAGTAAGCCGAAGGGTGCACATACTACGCATGCCCCACCAAAATATTACTATTCCCCACCGGTGGCGCATGTGCCTCAGTTTGGGAATCATTGTTTTACATTATATACGAGGGTGTACTGAAAAATTCTTGGCTTGTCCCTCTTTCCAAAATGAATAACTGATCAAACATCAGAATTTCTAATTTTTTTGGTCGAACCAATATATCTTTTACATATTATCGAATAATTATAAATAGTATAGATATAAATATATAAATAGATATAAATAGTATAGATAGTTTGCGCACGCGTGGGTGTGATTTCAGGAATTTATTTAGTAGGATTCCTTAACCAGCGTAATGACTGCTTGTCACATTTCTCCACCGACCAATAATCTTTAACAGCAAATGATCGTTATCTTTTCAAATGAATAAGTGGCGAAATTCACAGCTTTCCTTATTCGTTTCCTCATTTCTTTACAGCCAATCTTTTCTGTTCCCAGCTGCACTCCAATCTTCTCTTGACTAATCAGCTTAAAAGCTTTAATATTCATGTCTTCCTCAATTGTCACTGAAATAAAACGAGATCTTTTCTCCATTTATCTTATGATTAATAACTTAATAATGTAAAAGTGGGCCAATAATGTTTCTACTTATCCAACATCAACGCAGAAATAGAATCCCGAATGTAAGATAAGTCATATTATTTGTAACAACGTCTAGAACTAGAGATGGCTAATCTGATGTTTATTATAGTGATGAGGAAAAAAGTTTGTTTTTTTTCTTTTTTTTGACAGGGAGTGGAGTTGAAATATTCCGGTCGCTAAATGAATTCATACAACAGCCTGCACTCAAAATAACAAAAAAAGTTATTGCTTTTTACTGACGCTCTCGGGATGAAAAAAAAAGAAATATTATAAAAATCAAAATTTTCTAAATATTGTCAGCAGTAAATATAGAATGAAATTGGCTCCTTTTGCACCGGGGCGTTGGTTTTATTATTATTGAAACCATCAGCGAAGATTTAAAAAAACAAAAAAACAACAGAAGTTTCATTCCCAAAAACAAAAGACGCCCATGAAAACACATGCATACATCTCAATTAATAGTAGCAGACTTTACGGAAAGAAACCTTTTACGAAATTTTCATGTCAAATCATTTCAAGAATTTCCTTTCTGAAATAGATTTAGATTTCATAGTAATATTTTCAGATGTTTTACATTTTCAGAAAGATTGGGAATTTCTAAAAAAAAAAAGAAAAGGAAGCCACACCCATGTTTTTACGCTAAACTTAATCTGTATCAAGGAAAGTTTCTCTAAGCGTTACTTTCTAATAATGGCGACTAATACAACGATTCAATTCCATTTTGCTTTTGCAAAACTTTATTTCTCAACTGATCATAAAACATTTTGGCTGAACATAGAGTTGTTTTTAATTACTTAATTTGAATTATTTCCAACTGGAAGAACCACATGGCGTCATGGCACACGAGCTCGAACTGCAAAACATTATAACATTATTATCCGTCGTGGTGGCACATATACTGTGCCTAGGGCAAGAGATGTCATAAATGTTTTTTTGCTAGCTTCTTAGTCGGAGAGAAAACTTTTCAGCAAAATCTTGTATTTTATGTCCCTCGACGTCAAGTAATGACTTAGATTAACATATATTTTCTCTTGTGTAGTAAGTCATCGAAACTATCAAAAGCATTCCAGGAAGTTTAAATTATACCTGACCAGATAATGTATCTGTGAATTACAATTTGAGTGCAGAAGCATATATATATATATATATATATATATATATATATATATATATATATATATATATATATATATATATATGTCCAATCCTTCTTTTATACGAGTTTCATTAAAGCCAAATGACAAGGTACTGTGATTAAACATTTTATTGATTTTATCTTGGGTTCAAACTATGAGTGTAAGTACTGTTTTCTCGAATAGATTAATTCTTGTGGTGGATTTTAGAGATTTGTTCTGAATTGATCCCCCGTTAAGTAGCCGACCTCTGAAATCGGTTTCTAAGACGACTACGGTTACGTATTTGACATATTTCGTAGTTAGTGGTTCCTAATCTCCCATAAAACCCGACTTTATATGAAGAAGGCCATAGGTAGAGTGTTTTATTAATAAGTTTGAGCCAAAATGCAGAAAATGTAGATCTTATATGACAGATACTACCACGGACTTTAAAAAAAAAAAACACGGAAAGGCATTTTAAATGACTTAAACCCCATTTTGAACTTAGATTTCGGTTCTATTTGAAAGATAATGACCGAAAGTTAATCGGAATTAAAAAAAAAGAAAATAAATAAAAGTTTTAGGCATTCTTTAAAAAATGGTTCGTTTTTTCCTCACGCATCGACACATCCATCCGCCATTGTATACAAAAATAAAAACAACAATTTAAAATTCTTTTTAAAATCCAATGTTTGTACTATAGATGTGTTTCGAAACCATCGGGTTTTTATTTATAAAAATTCCGTGAGGGTACCTAAACTACAAAAATAGATTATACCGAAATAAAGACTTAAATAATTATGCCACTGTTTTAAATAAAATAAATTAATTGAGCTTAGTATTTAAATAATTATAACCTTAAAAAGTTGGCGTTTACGTGTTAACTGCACCCATTTTAAAATTATAACAACGGTATACGTTTTAATTAATAAACTCGCATCGATTACTTGCCCTTCAAAAGTATCACCAGCATTTTACTTACATAGACCATAACACAATAATATTATAGACAGATATTGTTATACGCTTCATGTATATACAGGGTTACCCTAAAGTCTGGACACAGGATTTCATTAAATATATATTTTTTACCTCCACAGATTAAATATGGTTTTATCGAAAGAAAAAGAATTGAAGGTGTACTCAATGAAAATCACACATGCAACACACTTGATTGAACGCATAAAGAGTGAATGTGCTAAAATTGGCGGCAATGTGGAGATATTGCATCGAGTTTCCCTGAATCTTGCAAAGCGCATCAACATTTCCATCACAAATGATGGAACTGAAGATGTTATTTATTAATATTCCAACTCAATAAAATGGTGGAAATTTAATTTCTTGAAAACATGCATTTTTGCCTATGTATCCAGACTTTAGGGACACCATCTATCTATCTATCTATCTATCTATCTATCTATCTATCTATCTATCTCTCTCTCTCTCTCTATATATATATATATATATATATAGAGAGAGAGAGAGAGAGAGGGAGGGAGAGAGGAACAGGGAGTGCAGGAAGGTCGATAGCTTAACTGTGAGGAAATTGATGGTATTCAGATTAGTTGGTCTGATTGGTGGCGTCTCATAGCAGGACAATTAAAGTTCCTTTTTCAGGTAGCATATGATGTGGTAGCATCACCAGCAAATTTGAGGAGATATGAATCACCCTCCTGCCGGTTGTGTTGTGCATAAGGAAACCTGTTCCATATACTGTCATCCAGCCCAGGATGACTGGTATACGTTTAGACATGACTTGGTCTTGGAGATTGTGGCAACAGCTTCGAGAAGTGCTAAAATACCCTCATTGAACCAGCGAAGGATTGCCTTCCTGAAGATCAGGTCGGCAGAATCAAGGAAGTGGACAGTGTTGGTTGATGCTACACTGTCAGGGGAGGTTATTGTGTCTGGATTGAGGCCAGATCTATTGTTGATTGATAGCAAGAAGAAACGTCAGTTGCTTGGTAAGCTGACAGTAACATGGGAGGAGAAGATTGAAGAGGCTCATAAAAGAAAGCTGCTTCGGTATGAGAAACTGGTGGCTGAAGTCCGTGAGAGAGTTACGGCTGCACGCTGGTGCCGTTTGAGGTTGGCTGTACAGGATATCCTGCTGCTTCCTTAAAGAGATTCCTGAGGTATGCTGATATCCAAAAACGAATAAGGTAATAAAGACCTGTGGCAAGAAAGCGGTGGAAGACAGTGCATGGATTACCCAGAAATTTGTATCGAGTTGAAACGTAACATCATCCAGCTGTTGCGGGCCCACCGTGTGGAGTGGTATTGATCTTAATGGGCCGAAACTTTGTTGAAGCACTGTGCACAGCTGAAGATTGCAGCTGGTTTGGAGCACTTGATTAAGTGTGGACACTGATGTTAGAAACGAGCTTGGCGATATATATTATTTTTATTATATTTATATTATTTTAGTAATTGGGATTTTTGGAGCAAGATTAGTTATTTTCGATCTATTGTGTTATTTACATAGTATGACGATTGCATTCAAACATGAAACAGTCTGTTGCTATTCGGTCTACACTTCTTATATTTACACAAGCTCAATTCTAGATGTATGTCCAGGTGTGTGTGCGTGTTTGCATGTGGATATTTATGTAGAATAATATCAGAAACAGAAGTGGAAATGATGAGACAAAGTGGAAAAGCTTATAAATGACGTTTCGCCGATGCCTGTTGGTCTCGGCTTAACCAACAAAGAATGAAAGACAAAATTCTGTATAAGGAAAAAGTGTATGTATTTTAGAGGATATACATTAGATTACCTTATCAAATCCGACGTTGCTCATCGTAAGGTCACTGACCACAATTTTGATTTTAAAAATGCTACACTAATAAATAAAATAATAAATAAAAAACGAAACACTTTAGTTTGACGAAACTGTTTTAATCGCTAGATCATTTAATCAAGTAAATTTGCGTAAATGTTCTTGTAACGTTTTACCATTCTTGGCCGAACTTCTGTTATTACTATATCGCAATATTCGGGATATTTAATAACTAAAATAAATTTGAGTTGACATTTCTTCTAACCTGATGAATATTTATGAGTTTTTTTTTATATTTAAAAATTTTGAAAATTCAATAAAATTTTGCTCTTGTATATAAATAATTGTTGCAAAAGAAAATCCTCGCAATTGGCTTAATAAAATTCCCCAGAAAACGAAAGGCGCCGTGTAAGATTAGTTATCCTTTTGTCTTTATTCATATTATCCTTTCACTGTTATGTGAAAAATATAAATATATGAATCGGTTTATATCACTTAATCTATCTGTTATGCTTATGTGTATAATATATCTGGCCGTGTTTGGTGCCATAAACATAAAAGATAAGAAAGTTACTGGCATCAAAAAAGTCGACATTAAAACTGCACCGAAGAGGCAGCCCTAAAGGTTTGAAATGAAGCCTTCGTTCAAAATGACATTGACAAGGAGAGCCAGAGTGCCTTGTCATTTTAGAGAGGCGCTGCAGCCGAGCGATTCTTCACGTGTTAACAATTAAATTGAAGGATCCGTGGGTCCTCGCAGACTATTAGCAGATAAAAGCCCTTCAAGTCTGCCTCATATTCTGCCCGTAAAACAGACACTTCATCATTTGCTTTACTGGTCAGAGCAGCAGATCTTGTAAAAATAATCACCGTCTGACTTTTGGTTAAGTTACAGTTTTGAGTGAGTGAGTTATCTATCTATCTATCTATCTATCTATATATATATATATATGTGTGTGTGTGTGTGTGTGTGTGTGTGTATGTATGTGTGTGTGTGTTTGTAAGTGTATAGAGAGAAAATGAAGGAGAGATACAAGGCCAACCATATATATATATATATATATATATATATATATATAAATCCTATATATATATATATATATATATATATATATATATATATATATAAGTATAGGATTGGTATATACGGAATAAATTCCAATAACCAAAAAATGCTATTCTTAAAAGAGTGCTCAATACAGAGTAGAGAAAATATAATCATTTATTCGAAGATTATAACATAAAAATGTTATAAAATCACTACAGAAATAGACATTTTTGTTTCAACACCTCGTATCTTATCAAGTGATGGTGTTGAATGTAGAATAAATGTTTTTAAAAGATTCAAATCAATCAAATATTTCTCGCTAGGGAAATGCTGTTACATAACCTGGAATGACCAATAAAAATACAAGTATATGAGAAAAAACTTCACAACGAACCTTCGTTATAATAATTAATTAATGCTTTAATGTTAGGGTTAGACTAAAATAGAATTCATTCTAACTAATTAATATTAAATTTTACTATAAAATTGAAAATTAAAAATTACCAATTTTAAATTTAATCTGTATTAAGTTTTAAAAATTTATAAAATTATTTAAAGAAGAAACTGAGGAAAAAATACATATGTATTGTTATTTATTTTGGTTTTATTGAAAGGTCAAATATTCAGTTAGAATAAATGTTAAAATCTAATGTTGCTCTGAGCTTCGTTACAGCTTAGATACATTTGAAATGATGATATGGGCAAGGGAAGGTGAAATCTTGCAAAGGCAAGACATACACAATCAGATTATAATACACAAACACGTAGACATATTTAGATATATAAACACGCAAAATTCAACGAAACAGGAAATAGGTGTCCACGACCCTTAAAAAACATATACATACAATGAAAGGCACATATAAGCGATTATACACATATACATTGATAAAGGAACGTACATATACACATCAAGAAATATTCAAATTTGAAAGTGTTAGTAAACGAATTCTAACATGCTATTAAAATAAAACTTACACGGGCAAAGATATATAGATAAAAATAGTCCAATAGATAAAATTTAATATGGATACAATAGAAAAACAAATATTCGTTCAGCAAAAAATTAAAATAAAATATATAAAAATGGATAGAAAAATAAATATATACGCATAAAGAGAGAGATATAGATAGATAGTAATACATAGATAGATAGATTGATTCAATATATATATATATATATATATATATATATATAATCGACTCTCCCGTCGCGTTCGACGTATGAGAGTCAGGCCGATAAGTCCCCAGGAAACCGACATCCCGACACCGGCACATGAGATTTGTTTATAGTGGTGAAGGCCTCGTGCAGGACCAGCCACACTTTTTGGAGGGGCGAATACAGAAACCTGGTGCACCGAATGCATGCCACATGGTTCCCAAACGACCCTCCGCAGGTTTTGAATTCAGAGTTGTCCTTCTCCTAGACCAGTTGCCATCCAAGGCTATAGAACCCAGTCTGTCCTGCTATTTTACCCATAGCTGGAGGGAGATGAAGAGGATACATACCTTTCCCAAGGGTATTAGCACGTAAGTGAATGCAATGGATTCGAACTCGGCTCTGCGATTCCTCAATCCAAGCTGCTATCCACTGCTCCACCGTGCCTCCTCCCTCTCTCTCTCTCTCTCTCTCTCTCTCTCTCTCTCTATATATATATATATATATATATATATATATATATATATATATATATATATATATATATATATATATATATATATATATATATTCTACAATTTTGATGTATGTGGGCAATAATTTTAATTTATAAAAGTTTAGTAAAAGTTCTTTTCTAAGGTTCTTTTTATTTATTTTCCAGGATTTCGGACTATTTTTATTGATTTCCGGTTTGCATTCAAATTTTCCAGTATCTGAGCTCTTTCGCTTTTATAATCATTATAATAAAAATTTAGGTTTATTTTTTCCTAAAAGAAAATATTTATTGAAAATGTAATTGTAAAATAAACTGATGGAAATAGTCGTCTGCTAGATTACTTACTGTGGAGACATTTTTCGAAACATACTAGGAATGATGAAATGTTAGAATTTTATGCACTTATTCTATCAAGAGTATGATGTATTTCTCTGTGCACAATGCTTTCTTGAAGATAAATGGGATATTTTTATCTGTATTTATTTTGACATAGGTTTGCTGACTTCTTACTTGGTATCTGTATGTGTATATTCGTGTTTACGTTTGAGTGTCTGTGTGTATGGTTTGTATTGCCAATAATTCTCTTACTTACCTTTGAAGGGTGAGATTTGACTCAGTTATTATTCCTGCAAACACTAAAATTTACCGCATCTTAAATAATATTTTTCTTTACAAACAATAGAAGACAAAGAATGTTCGCTTTAACGCCATTAAATGAACATTAATCTGAAAAATGTCATTGTATATATTCTGCGGTTGTTCTGCGAGTTCGAAAATTTCTCTGTCCGAGGATTAGAAAAAGTTCTGATATTTGATTGATTGGTTGAAATGGAAGAAACTGGATCACAGCAGGAAATATTCAGTGCGCTCTCGTAACGCGATTCCACGCGCAACACTTAATTTGAAACCGCTTGTCCTGATTTTCAAAGTATCCATTCAGTAACATCATTAGCAACACATTATGTATCCATATCCATAATATTTGAATCCAGCGGATTCCTTAAACTGTAAATATCAACAAACCGAAATATATATATATATATATATATATATATATATATATATATATATATATATGTGTGTGTGTTTATACATATATATATATATATATATGTATATGTGTGTGTGTGCATGTTTACATATATATATATGTCTATATTTCTGAGATGAGTTATTATGTAAATTATTCACATTTTTCGGACTATTGTCCTCATCTTTGTCACCATATTTAACACTACGTTTCGGCCGTTGTACCCTCCGGCCTTCTTCAGGTGTTTGGAATTTCGAACTGAACCCTTTATTTCGCTCACTGGGGTAGACTGTTCTAGTTCCATGGGTGATGATGGGTGTCAGTTATCAGTTATCCCCTGCTAATTTCCCCCTGAAAGTTCTCCACTGCCTTAACCGGGTATTGAACTCACATTCTTTGGGTCCTGTCACTGGATCTAACCAACGCCTTTATCCTTGAGGACATCTGTGTATGAATTTCTGGGTATTATAAACCTAATGTCCTCAGCAACCATTTTTACCAGTGCTCATATTGCAATTTTGCTGTTATCATTGCATGTTTTTACCTGAGCTCATACTGCAACATTGTTGTTATCATTGCTTTTTTCTGGCACTCCTTATTACTGGTTCC